AGGACACAGAGCGAAGTCACACTCTGAGACATCAGCACTTAAGAGCAGAGCTATCTGTTCTGCTGAGTGCAGCCACTGGTAGTCCATAAGACAACTGAAGGTGGTTTGCACAGTGACTGCAAAAAGAAATGCAAGATTTCAATACACACAGGTACACACCTGTCCAACTGCCAATACCTACTATCACCCTCTGGAAGGAGCCAGCTTCCCACTTGCTTTTAGTGCTGGCTTCTCAGTGGAGGCATAATCAGCTCCCTTGCAGTGCACATCAGCTCCAAAGACAACAGAGTTGTAGCTCTGCACTCCACATACCCTCTCCCAAAAGAGTTAAACAGTCCTTCAGAGAGGCTGGAAAGCAGTGCAGCAGCAAACTTGGGAGGATGATCTTTACTATAACCATACCCAAGTAGCAGCATTATGTCATACAGAAATCTGGTACCTGACATTGTGAGTAGTCTACAGGGAAGGTAAAGGCTTATTCTCTAATAGAAAGCCCAAAGCACTAGAGCCTCAAAACTCAGATGGGCAATTTTGCGCAAATGCTGTGCTGAAAATATTAGAGTATTTTAAATCACGTGGGTTGATACATTCTTAAACATATGCTCAGAACTTGACATTCAATGTATGTAGGACCCTTTTAGGCAATGGAATCCCCAAATGCACTGTAAATTGCAAGGCAATTATATGCTGGTGGTTAAAAGATGTATAATTAAGAGGACTGAGCTCAGAGCTTCACACACTGCATCCAAACAAAATCCACAACTACAGAGATCTTTACTGTGTTGTTCGCATTTGCTAATACTAGCCTAAATTTCATGTTAAATTGCTTGGTGTGTTCATGACATCTCACAGACAAGGTTACAGTCATCTCCGTAGATTCCCAAAACCATCAGCTTGGGGCCAGAAGTAGAACATGAATCTAAAAGAATCTCAGCTTCTCCACAAGCACAAATAACATAAATACCAGTTTTGTCATTTCCTCTTGACCAAGAAAGAACAAGCACCTGTCACTGTCAGACCCATTTCCTGAAACTGAGCAAACACGCGGAGTGCAAGATGTTTGGAAACATGGAATTTCATCCACCCCAAGACGAACAGAAGCCATAAAGTTCACAACAAAAAGACAGGCACTTAAAGCTATTTTATAGCAAAACTTTTCAATCAGTGTCAGTAAAAAGTGTACTTCTAAGTATGAATCTAAAACATTAATTTTCTCTATTTCACAGCAACTAATACCTCTCTTTGAAATGTTTTGTTCTATCAAGAGAAGCTGTACCACATCTAATTGTGATCAACATCAACACCACAAAGTTGTAACTTTTGTCCCCATGCTGTGATCTAACCATAAGTTTGGCTTAGTACCAGTCTTTTAACAGCTCAATTCTCTACCACACTCAGCTACCAAACCAAGAATGCTGTAATTGTAGAAACAAGAGCCTTTTTGTCAGTAAAAGCACTCAAATTGAGTCAGAGGACACTGGGAAGCAACCAAAGCCAGCTACCAGAGTTCCTGTACAGAACACTTTCATTAACTAGAGTACAGTCCTTACTCAGGAAGGCCTCTGAAGTGCAGGTACTGCAACACACATGCAAGTACCCTGACAGATCAAGGCATTCAACATGTTAAGATCTTACAAGATATTTTTAGTTACCACCTGGAATTGTATTTTGGACTACTTTTTTACATATGTTAAGATCTACCTAAGAAGAAAGAAGCAATATTGCCCTCATTCTGCCTTTTTAGAAAGCTTCTTACTTCAGTTCTGGCAAAAGGCAGTTTACTTTGCATAAGGATGTCCAATACATTAACGAAAAGCAGCAGAATGTTTTAGGCAACACTGATAAAACAGATTATGTTTTAGAATATAACACAATAAATACAGAATTAAACTTAAGCATTTTTCCTAATAATAGCAACAGCTAGAGAACTTAGAGACTTGTAACTGATTACAATCAAGAGCAGAAAACATAACTAGGAGGAGGAAAATAAGAAGTCTGCTCACAAACTGAACAGGTTCTTTTTGTTTTCCTACACCACATGAACTTAAGCAGAAATTTTAATTTCAGCTGATTCACTCATCTGTACCTCATAGTATCTTTGAGAAAACCTGACAAAGATAGCCCAAACCCTAAAAAACAACAAACATTTAAGATTACGAATTTTAGAAACTTCAGAGGATTTCTGAAGAAAAAAGAACTTACATAGGAAAAATTGTAACTACTGCCAAGAGTACATTACTACAGATTTCAAAAACGTAATTTCCTAAACATGGCTATTCCTGACCTAAGGTTAAAGATGGGTTCTGTATCTTTAAAGTCTTTTGAACAAGGATTTCTCTATTTGAGCAGAGGGTCTCCAGGCCCCAGTCCTGCTATCACATCCTCACAGGGAGGATGTCATGCACGGTTATTTCAATGTAGTTACAAACAGGCCTGGGTTTTGCCAAGATGAGCAGGGCTGCAAAGAGGCGGCCTTCAGGTACAGCAACAAACGGACCCTTTATGACATTGCAACATGGCAGAAATGTGCTTTAAAAACATTATCTCAAAATAGAAAAAGCAATATCCTGAGATGAAGTAGAGATTAAACATACCACAACACACCTTGCATCTGTACTTGGGGAAAAAAACCTAAGTCCAAGTCTTTTATTTATTCAAATAACAGATAGCCTGCCTTTCCAGATGAGGTTAAACAAAATACCTTTGTCTTATTTTTAGTCCCAATACTACAAAGACAAATAAACTTATTTTCTCACAATACAATAACATTTTTGCTTCAGTAGGAATACTCAATAAATAAACCAATAGAGCTCCTCACAGAGGAGCCTTTCAGCAGGTATAAGCTATTGGAGTTTCAGTGTGGTCTCAAAATAAATTTGTACCTCCTGATGATTTACCATACCATGAGAACATGGTACATGCAGTTCTGTAGGACCGGGTCCTACACACAAATTCAATCACCCGTCACAAAAATACTGAACATCAAAATAACCCCCAGTAGGTAAATTTTGCGTTGCTTTCTGTAAATAATTTAGCTTTACAATTAATAAAACTTGTGTGATCTTCGTATGTACTACAAAAAATGCATGCAAAAGACTGAATGTCACCAGTTTGTAAGTGACAGCTTCATACAGAACACGAGTGCTCCAGTTCACCAGCAGTGGTACCTGGTGGGTATGGCCTGGGCAAGGAACACTGCCACTACAGGTGAGCCCATAGGGGAGGGCACTGTCTGCAGGGGAACGGTGCATTGCCCTAATTTTGACAATTTTATTTTAAAGTCTCCCAACCCTCAAAAACTGAAAGGCCTTAAAATAAACCTGCATTGCATGTTGTTGAGTAACAAAGTTAGAACTAACCCTATGTATTTTAATCAGATGGCACAATATAAGGCTTTAAGGTGAGTGTCACTGTCACTTCCAAAATTCATTTGAGGTTACTTGTACAAAGCCATTATAATTTTGACCTAAAAGACACATTAAAGAATATTTGACCAAAATGTGCCACCTCCCGCATTAGAAACCGGAGCTATTTCACCTGTGCGGGGTGAAGTGCGATGGTGGGTCTTCCAGTGCACTCACTTCACAACTACCAGACGTTCTTTTCCCTGAAAAAAAAGGATCCTTTCATTTTCAGTCGTGGAGGGCAGCAGCACCTCACACAGACCCCCAGCCCACAGGGACACGAGAGGGGAGCAGACACAGCCCTTGCCGCGTAGGGGCTACCGAGGCATCCCCTCCCGGGCTGAGGTGCCAGTGGGCTGTGGCTCCTGTCCCGCTAACGGGTCCTGGGACAGTGGGGTGGCCGAGGGACCCCAGCCCGGCCCCGGCAGGGCTCAGGCAGCCGCCGGCCCCGGCATGTGCCCGGCACCGAAGGTGCTGCCAGGGCAGCCCCTCGCCCCTGCCCCTCGTTCCCTGCTCCGGGGGCCGGCGCGGGGCCCCACGTGCCGGCAGCTTAGGGGCTGGGGGGACACTCCGAGGGCTTCCCCGCACCCCCAAAACCGCCCCCCACTACCTCCCAAAAAGTTGTGCGGCGAATCCGCCCGCCGCCGGCCCGGCCGAAGGGGGTCACCGACGGGGGGGAAAGGGGGTACGGGACGGGCGGGGGGGAACCTGCGGCCGCATTCCGAGGTGCCCCCGCCCCGCCGGCACCGTCCCCACGGCCGCGGGCGGGGGGTGGCCGGCGGCGGTGGTGGGGGGATGAAGCACCCCAAAAACGCTGCGAAACTTTCCAGGCCGCGGCCGGCGCAGCCCCGCGGGACCGGCACCGCCTCCGCCGCGGCGGCCCCGCACCGGGCTGGGGGAGGGGGTGCCCCCCCCCACCCCGCCACCGCTCATTAAAAGTCATTTCGGCAAATTAATGCCGCCCCCGTCCCCCCGTCCCGCGGCCCTCTCGCCCCGCGCGGGGGGCGGGGGGGCTTGGGGGGGATAGAGCGGCCCCAGCCGCGGCGCCCCCACCGCTTCCCCCCAGCCGCCCGGCCCCGGCGGCGGACCTCCCGGGCAAAGGCGCCGCGCCCCGACCCTCCCGCTGTGCCCCGGAGGCCGTCTCACCCCCCTCCGGCGCCCCTCCCGGCGCCCGAAAGCTTCAAAAACCCCCCTGGCTCCCCGCACCCCCTACTGCGGCCTACGACGCTCCGACCGATCCCCGGCCTCGCGTAGCCCGCCTCCCCGCCCGCCCTGCACCCTCCGCACCGCCTGCCGCGCTACGCGAGCCCGGGGATGCAGGCCGGGCCTGGCTTACCTTTCCAGCTGCTTTTTTTTCCCTCCTCTCTCTCCTCTCCCCCCTTTCCCTCTGTTGGGCTGACAGATCAGAGTTTCCTCCCCAGCAGAGGGACTGGGAATGTGCTCGGGCTCTGTGCTGAGGAGCTGCTGCCCCCCTGTCTCTGAGAAGATCCTGCTTTTTGTGGGGAGGAAGCTTTGGGGGCTCTTTTATTATTTTAAAACTACAAAGTGCTCAGAGGGTAGGTGATTATTAAGGGGAATCCCTGAATATATTCTCCAGCAAAGAAGGCAGGGCTGCTGGGGCTGCTCAAGAAGAGAGCCAGCAGCCTCCTATAGCACCACTACAGGCACTGAGAGGACATAACATCAGAGAGCGGCTCCTCTGCCCTCCAAAACAACAACTTTCCTACCATCTTGGAGGTAATAGCGAGGGAGAGAGGGAGGGGGAAAAAAAGTACAGAAGGTTTTTATAAAGTGTCAGTTTGGAGGAGGGAAACAAATGGCCAAAACAAAATATTTTATCATTTGTGTGACTTTTTTATTTTTATTTTGTAATAAAAAATAAAATACAAAGGCTCGTGGCTGAAGAATTTTTTTTTTTTTTTAATAATCTGTAAATATCAACTCCCTGGGAAAAAAATTAAAAGAGGTACGGTAAAAATATTTATTTTTAGTAACTTCGTTGTTCTTAAAGCTATGTAATTTTTAAATGTATTTTAAAGTTGATAACTTTTTTGTCATTTTGTGATGGTTCTAAAAATTAGTGTGTAATTGTGAAAGTTTGTGTAACTTTTTTTTTTTTTTGTATTCTTAGTCTTAGTAAACAGCTGAGATTGATGTCGGATAGTTTGATGTAACTGTACCGTAACATCTTTCTCCCTCTCAAGGCATTGTAAATAAAATTGGATCTACAGGTAGGAAAAAATCCATATTTTTTTAATTTTTACTTCTTTATTTCTTTCTAGAGTAGGCTGTGTAGAGAAACGATGGGGGATTTAATGTGAGTGAGAGGAACCTATGATAGATATCTGAGAAATTGTGCTGTCATAAATTTAGCATTGTCTGCCCTTCAGGATGGGATGTGAAAAAAACAGAAGTCATAGCAAGAAATTTGGGGCAACAGTTGAGTTTTGTTCTTAATGTTTTCATAGCACTTTGCAGCCTTCTAAAAATCTGTTTCTTTTTAAGTTATTGTTTTGATTTAGGGGCTTTGTTCTTGATATTTATGAATGTTATTGCTAACTTATAGTAGAGAAATGCTATAAATTTATACTACAGTGTCTTGTAATATAAATTAATATTACTTTTCTTTGTTTCAGATTCTTTTATTAGATTGTAAAAAATATATTAAATGCTGTCAAAACAGTGTCAGATGCTGTGGTATATCTATAGGTGAAGACACTGATCGCTGTATTCAGCAGATCTGTGATAATGTTTCTTGAAGCAGTATTATGCACAGCCCTATTCAGAGATGAACTGCAAAGATGCCTTTTTATTTGTCCCAAAGGAAGAGGAAATAATTAGGAAACTAATGAGCTATACATTATGTTTTTTCCATTGTAAAAATTATTCAGGTGGTGTAGACTAATTGAACTGCAGTCAGACTAAGGTCATATGGATGAAGTACTGAATTACTCAGTGTATTATCAACCTCTCCCTCTCCCCTGCCAAATCTGAAATATACTGGTTTAGTTTTGTAAATTGGTTCAGTTCTTGTAATCTTTAAAAAATTTTTTTTTTAAAAAATCCCATATTTTAGGTACATCCACATTTCGAAACATACTTTGAGTTTGCCCAGCCTGCATGGTGAGTGTAGTTCATGTGTACATAGTGGGTTTTTCATTTAGATAAATAGGTTTCAATTAAAGTATAATTAAAAGTCAGCTGGTCTTTGTGTCAAATTGTTTTTGTTTAGCAGAGTTTTTTTAGATTATGCTTAGTCTACCTAGCTCATTTTTAATAATCCAGAGTGTTGCGTTCAATGGAATTATTGCATGGGAAGTGTTTTTCTGTTATTTGAATTTTTTTTTCTTTTTTCGGTTATTTGAATTTTTTTTTCTGTTTTTCAGTTATTAATCTGTTAAATGGATAGTTCTGCTGATGTTAGAAAACAACAAAAAACCCCCAAATATGTTGCTCCTTCCTATATTGTATTTCAAAAGAGTTTGTATTTTGTATAAAGTAATGCAATAATTAGGGTCCTTCATAATTTTACCAATCATTATTTTATGCTTTGGAGTGTGAAGTATGATTATTCTTTTTGTAAGCTGTTTCAGCAAAAACTACTTTTATATCCTATACCTAGAGTTCATTACAGGAATGACAGGGATTACAAACGTTGGTCAGGTATAGGATGATTGAAAAAAATGTAAACCCTTTGAAATATTGCAAATGAATTATCTTAATTAATTTAGGAATTCAACAAATGCAGCATAAACTAGTATTTCCTTTTCTTTTGTTCTAAACAGATAGATAAAGGGCCAAATTCTCAGAGCCCAGTTTTGCAAGTGCTTGCAGGCCTTACTAGCACTTACTAATTCAGAAGCGCTTGAAGGATCACTGTAGTTCCTTGCATAAAACTCCTGCCAAGTCAGTAGGATTTTGCTAGAGTAACAAATTCAAGTTGCTGTACAAAGTGATTTCTTGCATTAACCATTGTGTTAAACAAGAGAATTGCTACTTTCAACTTAATTCAGTAGTTCAGCATAATTCAATTACAGTTCAAGTTCTCTTCATTGGGCTATTTCGATGGTTTTTGTGTTTTAGGAAGAGAGGCACACCATGAACAACTAATCTATGCTGCATCTCTCTGTGCTACTCTTAAGAATATCTGTACAGCACTCTTAGTATCTTGGAACTGTATTTTTTAAATGGGATGCAGATAATTCAACATTTTAGAGAAATGGCTGTGAATTCACTTGAGAAGCTGAGCACAGAAACAATATTAAACCTTTTCTTGGGCTTATGTGTTTGTCTTTGCAGATACTGACTTTAATCAGATTACTTGCCTGCCTAAATTTAACCATGCGTCGTGGTAGCATTACACATTTTGGTGACATCCTAAGATCTATTAATTCAGTCTTTTTAAGGAGGAGAAAGAAAAGAGGAAAAATTTGCCAGATATTGGTTGTGTGGACTATTGTGTAATCATTCAACAGAGAAATTAAAAATTTGTGCTTCGTGGATAGATAAATTTATTTAACAAAACTTTATTTAACTGAGAGTAATTTGCTTTTTGCTAACTTACTAAGAGATGCAAATATTATTTTAACTGTTTTGAGGACAAATTGGACTCTGAAACTTCTGAAGGACAGTGTGTAAACCCAAAGCACGAAAGTCCCCTGTACAACATTCAGAATTGTATTCTGGAACTTGCATTCTTCAGAATGGGTCTGCCTGCCTTGATTTAAATCCGCCTCATCCCTCGACCAACTACTCGATCCACTAAACTTATTGTACACTTGAGCACAGAGTGGTCAGAGAACATTAATGTTCTGTAAATCACAGGTTCTGGCTAATGAGGCATTCTGTGCTGATGTGTCTCACCTGTGTTAGTAGTGAGACAGGGCAGTGATGCAGTGAATAAGCTTTGTGAGTCCAATAAGGCAATGAAATAGGTGCTTTAGGTTGTACACCAGTTAGTTACTGGAGGAGGCTGCATCAAGAAATGAACCTTGACTCTCTCCCAAGGTCGTACGCACCCCGAGTGCAGACCTCAAGAATTTCTGGAGCATGTCTTAGACTCTGTGCATGTGATGAGGACTCTTGGGTTCTCCACAAATAGTGTTACAATGTCGGCATCTTGGTATTATTTCTTGAAAGACACATACTGAGAGAACAGTTCCAATGTCTTCAAATGCTTGCTAAAGGGATTAGCAATTTATTTAAAATGCAGGTGTATGTTGTGAAGGGGAAGAACAACTCTGAGTGTATAGCTGTTAATTCAAGATGTTCTTATCTGAAGAGCCACATTTGTATAGAAGATCTTGTCTTTAGGCATTTAAAGACTGAAAAGGATGAGAAATTAAATAAAATCCAAAGTTATGATAGATTCTTCTAAGCAATGTCTTGAGCAGCTGTGATGTGGTATTAGTTTGTGTAATAGTGGCAAGTTCTGGAGTAAAGCTAACCATTAAATCTCAGCATATTAGCATTTTTGAAAAAATGTTTATTCTTATTTCTCAACAGTTCTTTAACATGAAAATTTTATAGCAACCAACTGCGTATCTGGGTTTCAGTTACCCTGCTGCAGTTGTATGTATTTGATAAGCAGCATGCTTTTTGCCACTTTTCCAAACCACAGAGTCCTTACGTTAAAAACACTGTCCATGATCTGAGGATTTTTCTCTAGGAAATGTACCTAAGTTATGGCATAAATTGAGCTTCTTAAACCAGCGGCTAAACTCCTTCATACCCGTGCTTTAGTGCACTCCTGTGTGGCAGATAGCACAGCTGAAACTATAGGACATGCCCTATATACAGCAGAGTAACTTTGCTTTACTTTGTTTAAAGCCCTAAATGCTAGCAAAGCAACACAACATACCCAAGACTAGCCTCGTTTTCCTGAGTGTTAGGGGCTTCATTAAAGCTTTTTTCAGCAATGGGAATTTTGCTGTGGGTTTCAGTAAGAGTATAGCTGCAGAAGTATTTAACCAGTTGGGAACAGATGTATGCGCTATTACATGATAATATAATTAATTGATAGTGAACTGTACTGAAAATAGTAATTAACTAAGACTTCACTAATCTGTTCTTCATTATCAATGTGTATTTTAATCTGCATTAAATAAATGATATTGTCTTCCTAAAGCTCAGCAAAGACAAAACAGTAAGACTGTTAATTGTGGGAAGGTTGTCCAGAGTACGTTGGGCATCTGTGGAGACCTCTTTAAATAGAGGACAAATTAATGCAATAAGCTGTCCCAGCAGAATGCTCTAATACCATCCCGTTTTACTGGGAAGCCCTCTGTTAATTCAAAGTATACTATTTTATTTTTACTGTCTGCTTCTGTCTATTGATATTTCATTAACTGTAATTGTAGTGGTTAAGCAGCTCCACACTTTATCACCAGTCCTCTCTGCCATTAGTCCAGTTATTCATTTATATTCAGGTTGCAGAGGGTCTTGGTCACCACTGCAGGATGGAAAGATGAGAATTCCCACTCTGGACCAAATCAACAGTCCCTTAAGTCTTCTGAGAGCAGCTTCCAACAAAGGTGTGGAATATCCTGTGATGGATAATTGAGAAGTAAAGGGCATGCAGGACAGGATTTTTCTAAAATAGTTGGAGCTGATCTAACATCAAAGCCTAAAGCTTAATTAGTGTCTAGGGTCATGGGATTCCAGTGGATTTTGAAAGTTTTTTGTTACACATGAAGTGTTTTGCTCTTAGTATGTTTCTTTTTGATACATGGTTCTCATCTCTGCTCCGTTTCAAACATAAAACATAGATGTACAGATGATGACAAGAAGAAATAAAACTATTTATTGGAAATATTAGTTAATTATATTCAAAATTCAGCATTGGCTGAGTGAGGAGATGTCTCTACTACCTCTTATGCCTCTAAATCTCAGTAGGCTTCTCAGCATTAGGCACTGTGAATAGATGTGTACATATAGCTGGAGGAAAACATAATTATTAACAATGTTTAGCATAGCAGGCTTTGCTGATTATGGAATCACTAATTTTGTTTGAATTCCAAGACTTTATATAGGTTATTTATGTCTCTCTGGGCCATCTTTCTGTGGTCCTGAGCTATGGAGAGTTGGAATAACCTGGGTACTTTTGGACACTTCGCTGACATCATTCCATCAACTAATATGTGTTACTGGCATTTTATGGAAAATAATAATCTGTTAACATCTATTAAAAAATTGAAAATATTGTCTTGTGTTTGGCTTTGTTTTTTTTTTTTGTTGTTTTTAAATAGGAATTGTAAAGCTTCTCAGGTAATTCTAGGAGAACTTACACATTTTGATGTTTTGTGGGGTTCCTGTACTCCTTATCAAAAGCTTACTGCAGTTGTCAGGAAAGTCCTTAGCTTTTAGCCACTCTCCAGAATTCCCCATGTACTTATTACTTTTTTTCCATTTTGGTAGTCACCATGAAGTCCTCTTCTATGTGCTTCTCTTGCTTTCTCTGTTTTTCCTGTCAGTGCCTTGAGAGAGTCATCTTCCAACCCTTCAGCATGAAAGGGGGTTTCATCTTATTGCATATTCGAAGGACAACACAGCAAATTATTGGGAGACTGTCTTGTTTTGGGAGAGGATGTTTTGGCTTAGCCATTGTTTGGAGTATTTTATGAGGAGCAGCGTTGTGGGGACAGAGATGAAGTTATATTACCTTTCCCCTTTGGATTAAGGCTGATGCTAGTCTGCCATGCTGCTTTTCCTTTAGAGGAAGACCCTGAGCTATTTTTCTGTTGGTTTCAATATTAAAATACAGCATATCCCCCAATCAAGCATGTAGCAGATTGTCTTGCAAGAATCTTATCAGCCTAAGAGGCACTGATCCAAAATCTTGTACTTCTTGGGGAGATGCTACAGACCTTTTCTGCCTTGAGCTGTGCTTCAAAACGCATTAAAAAATAAGTCAGTTCCAGCTATTTTTATGACTGGCTTAATTTTGCTGGACATTTCAGTCTTGTTGAGGACATGCCTGTTTGACTTGAATTCTGTTATGTTTCTTTTTATTGAAGCAGCTCACTACAGGGCCCAAGGTTTTAAGCACTCTCCCTTTGGAACTACAGGGATGGACCCATGGGATGCTGGTGCTTTCAGTAAGGTGGCTGTTGAACAGGGCTTGGATTTTGGTGGTTTTTTTTTTTTTTTTTTTGGTTGGTTTTTGTTGTTTTTGTTTGTTTTGAAGTAACAGCTTTAGACTTAGATCCTTAAATCTGCCTGAAGTTATAGATTCTCTTTAATCTGAATGTAGCTGGCCTAAACTTGCTTGAAAGTGTAACTGCATAGTATGGTCTCACCTTGAATTAAAACACCTTTGCCTTCTCCCCACATCACCTGCTGAAGACAAGACTACAAAAAGGCAAGGTCTAATCTAAGTCATGTTTGGAGCTAATAGTTTGCACACCAGAGCCCTGTTTATACCGGGTTGTGCTCAGAGAGGAGGGTACTTAATGACCAACCCCTTCCCTCTCTCCCCGGACACATCGCTGTTCCCTGGCAGGCTGTACAGGCAGGGGTGCCCAGGAGCAGGCGAGATGAAGGTTACTGCACCCGAAGGAAGCTGGCCATGCACCCGCTGGGAAGTTCTGCCAGTTGGCCACCAGGTGGAAGCAGGGCTACACTCGGGGAATTGCAGCTCCTCCGGCGCTGCGCTCAGCTCCAAAACAAAGCGCAACAAAGCCCCTGCCCACCCCAGCAGAGTCGGGATAAAGGCACCCAGCAGCCTTGCATGTGAAGTGAGATGCATCAGCACGCTGCCGGCTCAGGCAGCGTTATCACCTGGCTGGTCAGCCCTTACCATAACCACCAGGAACAATACTCAGAGCATGTTTATCTCCCACCATCCCGGCTCTTCATCACCACTTTTTCATAATTCTCTAACCTGAGCTTGCAGCTTCAGGATCAGCAAGTAGCAGCACTGACCGTAAACTTTTTCTCTAAAATAAACAGAGGTAAGTTGTGTGAATAGCCCTGTTCCTGCAATTTTTGTTCACATATTTGCCCAGCCTATGTCACTTCCTTGCCTTTGCAGATCCCTATTATGCTTTTGTCACTAGCTGGGTAAAAGTCCTCACGTGCACCTACTGTCCAGCCACCAGAGCAAACAGAAGGGATAAGGGGTGGGCTACACTCTAAACTTGGTGGTTAAGAATGCTAATTCAGATTTCTCTTTCCTATCTAGTTTCCAACAGTCAAATGAAAAGAGAACCTTGTTGCTATTACCAAGTTTGGATGAAAAATTATGTACTTGACTAGTTAGGTGGGAGAGAGATTAGAAACAGAGAGCACCACATGTACTCCTTCCCCTTCTTGCCTTTCTTGATAAAGGCTGGAGAGTTTTTGAACAGAAACAAGAATCTACTATATATACTAACTGAAGGATGTAGAGCTGTCAAAAAACCAAAAAGCATGCCGGAGTTCCCAAAGTAATGCCACAACATTTAAGGGGGAAAAAATCTAAAGCTTTTGAACCTTTATAAATTCTGAAGTGATAACCGATTTGTTGCACAGCTGAAGTTATTCCTCTGTGTTTGTACAACATGGGGTGGGGGAGGGATGAAGAAAAGCTTTTTCATCTTAGGAGCTGAGAACCAAATGTTTTTCTGAATATAGTCTTCAGAGACACCCCTTCTTCCTATTTTTTGGCATATATCACACACATTTTTCTTTTGCTATGTGCCAATAAACCCCTGCTCCTGCTAAAAAAGTAACATTCCACAAGGACAGGAGCAAGGTTTCAATGCTGTACTTGGTCCTGTGAACTGTCACATTAAAACCAGACTGCAGTCTCCCTCGCTGCCTTGCTAACATAGCAGTGTCTCAGTAAAATGAACAGTTACCCTTTTCTGTACCACCACGAGAACTGACCCTGTCCCTGCTGGTAAATGGAGATGGCAGGCTGAGTAAAACCATGTCCAACATTGAACACTTAACTGGTGTGAGGACACTGTGATATACCAGGATAACCAGGAAGAGTCTTCTTCCTCAGCAAAAGGAAAACAATGTTTTGAAAAGTTACATGTTTGTTACTGAGAAATTTTAAGCACAGAAGAAAAAAGGAATTTTTTAAAACTAAGACTTCTACAGCAGCACCCCCACGTACCCAGTATTGTTCTACACTGAAAAGTGTAGTTTTTCCTCATGCAAAATTAACACCTTTTTTTTTAATAATGCAGTTGGAAATGATGACTTTATGATACAGTTCCCACATTCACAATTCCTGGAAAAATTACATTGAACTTTTGTAGCCAGTTGAAAAGGAAGGTATCCTTCTTCCAAATTTACATTAACCAGCATAATACAGAGGAGAAAGTCACTGTTCTGAAGTTATCCAAAAGCATAAAAAACCCCCAACCACCCAACTAAAAAATAACACACAACCCCTTCTCCCACTTGGCTATATAAAGATCAATGCACAGAGAAACTATTCTGAGAATTTTTTTCTGTATTTGAACTGGTATAAAGGCCTTTAGTCTTTCCGCTATTTTTAAAAGCAGTTCAGTATGAGGAAGCTGTGTGAAGGCTGGTTTTTTTTTTCCACAACATCAAAATTATTTGTTTTCCTCCAAGAGTAGTCTCAACTGAAACTAAATGAAGAAACACACAAGTATCCAAAGCAGAGATAGGTTTGAACATTGGCATAAACCAGGTATGAGGGACAACTTGCTTTAGAAGTACATTACTAAAATAGCACGTTCACATTCTGACCAAGGTTTAATATTAACTTACCTGGATACTCTGGAAGGAAATTACAATTTAATGTTTTTGCCATGTAAACCCCTTCCTAGAAAATCAAGACTTACTGAGTTGCTTACTGAATTCTTTTCATGGAAGAAGCATGAGCTACATGAATTACACAGGTAATGGGGTGGCTTGGTATTTATAATTTATTTGTATACAATCATCATGTACCCTGCCTCTGGGTACAGTAAGTTGAGTGCTGCATGTTCCCTCAGACACAACAGTGCTATAGTATGATGGGGCTATTTGAAGCGATGAAAATGTGAATGAAGGAAGAAAAAAAAATACAACAGCCTGTCAAATAGATTTTGGAAAAAACGTATCAGTCACAGCAGTTAACTGCAACAAAAACCTAGAAGAAGGTGGTGGAAGTCTGATTAGTCTCTAGCAGATGGATGGCTCTTCTACTGCATGGGCACCTTCAACGACAGCTTTCACACACTTGGCCATTGTCTGCGATGCTCTACTGATGGAATCTGTAAAAAAAAAAATCCAAACATGTCAGTGCACAGACAGTGCAAATAAAAATACAAAATCATTTTATTACAAGACTGGATACAAAGAAGATAAATAAAATCACTTAGTTGAAAATACAGTCTGTGCTTTATGTAAATTCCAAATAATTTTACTGAAAAAATTTGTTTCTTCAAAAGATTCAAATCCTGTATATCCTAGTGGAAGGCTTTAAACGAATCATAAGAACCTTACTGTAAAGCTAAGTAAAATGTTCTGATTTCAGAATGGAAAGACCACACTATACATACCTGTCATATAGAAGTCTTTTATTGTGAGCTGAGGTGGAACAAGAGGATCAGCAAGAAGCTGTTGCTTTGCCAACTGTGGTAAGAAAGGAAAAGAAAGTCACCTGTGTGATAGGAGCTTGTTACCAAAGCATTTGTTTAGTGAATTCTGCATTCAGTGCATTCAGTGTAGGTCAAAAAATGCTTCTTGTATTACATATGAAGATTTTTCAAAAAGGCATTATGCTATATAACAGCATTAAATCATGCCAAGATGCTTCAGTTTTGCTTACCTTTGCCAGTTCATTTGCCTGGATGAAGTAGTTCGCTTCCTCCACATCATCATATCGAACCAGATTGGGTGATACTTCTTCTAAACGCTTCCGTATTTGATCGAGGTTCTCGTAAGGCAAGGTCAAACCAGCCAACTGAGAGATTCACAGAAAGAAATGCCATCAAGTCTAGGGCTTTAACTCAGAGTGGTTTAGATTACCAATTTGACCTCTTCTAATGATACCAGATCCTGGTCTTAAGAGTCTATGCTGTATTCTTTCTAAAAAGCAAGAAACTGCATGCTCCCACCAGCTTCCTCGAAAGCACCTCACAAAGACCTGCAAAATTTGCAAAGCTTGACCCATTATGCATTCAGCATACAGCATACAGCAACTGCAACATTAGAACTACCTTCAAAAGGGAAACAGTATGATTTAACTCACAGAAT